CCCACCACCCCTCAAACAAAAACCCCCCTCAAAAAAAAAAAAAAAAAAAAAAGAAAGACAGACACAGCATTCCATTAAAGACACACATATCATTTATGGCAGCATGTGAAATGCAATGCCAGTATATTTTTGTAACTCTCATTTCTCCCATGGGGAGGTAGGAATGGTAGGGAGTAAGAAGAGAGGGAGAGAGAAAAAGAGGTAGAAGAAGAATATCTGTGGTCTGACCCTCCATATGTATCTTAGGGGATAATCAGATAATTAACCTTGAGATATTTTTATGCTTAATTCACTGGGAAAATTGAAACAACTTTAAACTTGAAACCTTTATGTATAAAATATTCTAAAGGAGTACAGTCTTATTTTCTCTTAACAAAAGCCATAGACTACCACTTACCGAATAAAATTCTTCAAAAAGTCACTTTTTAACATGATATAATAATGTATCATAACAACTGAAAACACCCAAAGCTCTGAGCTAGTATCTTTCTTGTGGTCATTTCCAGAGAACAAAATTACGTTTATCTCTAATAGAAATTAAGGCAGTAAAGATTAAAAACTCCCATTAAAAACTCCCTAGTTTTTAAGCTCTTAGACAAAACCACTGAGAATTGGAATGTGGAACACACATACACATTTCAAATTAAAGTTTTGTTATTGGTACTAGCCTGTGACCTGGTGATTAACATGGCTGGATCCCATAACTTGCCATTTGAAACGCGGGCACACGTACTGTGTGCCCTAAGTCCCAAGGGGAAGGAAAGATGGAGGAGAAGGGATTGTGGCATTACGGTGCCCCATGGGGGATACTGTCTCACCACCCCCACCTCCACCAGGCAAGTATATGCACCCTCTGGCGAATTAAAAAACAACAAAATGTTATTGTACATGAAAAGCATGTGCTGTTTGGGAAAATCTCCAACTCTTTTTTTCCTGATGATTCAGGATCAATTGTGATAGTTATTCTCAACAGTTCATTTCTACTAGCAGTCACAAGTTATACATATAGTAATTACTATTATAATTATTCTTATATTAGTACTTACCAACCTGGATTCATTACAATCACCTATAATTTATAAATCATATGGTAAAACATGTTTTAAAGCTTCACTCTTAGTCCTATTTAAGTTCTCCAAGAGAGATTATTTTCAGTTTAAGAAACGTAAAACTTAAACCCTATTTCTCCTGGTGGTGTTTGCTAGTAAAAAAACAAAACAAACCTTGAATACCAATTTATACATAATATTTCATGATTCATAAGTTACATGTGGGAACATGAAAATATTAATTAGTCCATAAAGAAAACTGTCATGAAGTATAGATTCAATAATGTCAGTCAAAGAAGTATGTGTTTGGTTTTCATTAGATATGTTCTTTCTTTTAGAATTTCAGATATCTAATGATGGATTTACAGAATTATTTTAGATCAATTGTTGCTTCGCTCAGAATCGTATCTCAGGAAATGAGAAATTAGATGTGGACTTTGTTATTAGATACCTGGTTTTAATCTAAATTCTGTAACCAACTGATTATGTACTATAGCCGAGAGATTCAATTCTCTAAGCCTTTGTTTCCTCATCCATAAGGGAAATTAAAAAATTGTATATTGTAATGGTGTATATCATCCTAGCATTATAGGAAGGAAATTTCTATTAATTGTCACCTATTATTTTTATATTTAGTGTAATAATTCTCCCCAGGGATGATTTTCCCACTCATAGGACATTTCAAAATGTCTGAAGACATTTTTGTCTTATCAAAACACAGAGCTGGTGGGGGCACAGTGTTTGAAGTATTTGGGAGGCAGACGCTCAGGGTGAAGCTAAAAATTCTAGAACAGCCTCTGCACACCTCCTCCCACCCATTCCTCATGTCCCCAACAGAGAACTATCCAACTCATAATGTTAATAGGGGCAAGGCCAAGAAACTCTAATGTAGTTGAAAAGAGAAAAGATTAAGTTCATTTCTTTTACTCCTACTCTGTAATTAGCCATTTTATGATCTATTTCATTATACTAGCATTGATTTTCAACCTGAACTTCTGCTTTTTAACTTTTGCTGATACAATCTTCCATGTCATGTCTATGATTGTTACTAATTTTGTATTGTACTCTGGTATCTTGTAGTTATAATACTTTCTATGTTTAAGGTTCACCATTCATATTGTTAAAAAGAAGAATGTTTCCATCCTAAGTATTAATAGCTTTTTTATATTCTTTTTTTTTTAGTTTTTTTTTTTTTTCTATAGGGCACATGCACTCGCCAGACAGACAGACAGAGAGAGAGAGAGACAGAAAGCAAGAAATCACTCCCCAGGGTGATGGCCATGCTGCAATCCCTTCTCCTCCATTCTCCTCTCGGGATCTTGGGCACGCACACACACACGCCCAGCATGAGTTTAAGCCACTGGGTCCAGGACTCGAACCACGGTCAACTACGTGGGAGTCCAGCAACATAGCCATTATGCTAACTGCTGGTCCCAAGTATTAATAGCTTTTGTTTTTGTATTTTGGACTACTTCTCATTTCTAAAACTCTCGTAAGACATCAAAACACCATAAAAGGGAAAGAAAACCCTGAGATATTATTTCAGTAAATAATTCTTTTTTCCAATACCAATACATGTAGAGCCTAGGTATCCTTTGATATATTTCCATTACTGGTAACTAAAAGATTTGAGTTACCTGAAACCATTCAATTTTATCTTTCAGGATCCTAAATCTATTTCTATTGAATTCTAAGAAAATCTGAAATTGATACTGAGTACAAAAATATTCCACTTTTAGCAAAATGTATTCAATAATAGGAAAATTCTTTGTCATTTAGGATTTCAAATTGCTTATGCTCTTTTTTTTTTTCTATAACTAAGACTTATCATTTGACAGACACACCTGAATCATTATTTTTGCCAAATATATACTTTATTCCATGAAAGCATTTCTAAATACCTTATGAACTAACATTTTTAAATCATGGACACTTAAGTCCCATAATATGTTTTGTTCAGAAATCTAAGCATCTTTCATTTCTTTTGAGTAATAATTTTGTTTTAAATAATGCATAAAAATGTCATATTTGAAAAGATGGTCTCATAGCAAGTAATCTTCAGAATTCTCTAAATGCAAATAGAGCCTGGATGTTATCTAGAAAAGGAAGATGCCCTGGTGGTTGTTTGGGTCCAAAGTAAAAAAAAAATAATATAAAATAGTCTGATAAAAGCAATGTATTGATCATTACTCCCTTTATGTATGATATGAAATGATTGTGTAGAATAAGTCTTTTGAAGAGTTTGTTCTTCAACTGCTTAGTTGTAAAATTGTAAAAATCATCTTTGTTTACTTATTTTAGCAAAAAAGAAAACTAAAAAGTCACTCGTGTATACCATAGGTTCACATTTTCAAAACTGTTCACTAAAATTGTACCCTTTATGTAAAATCTTTATTGGCGAGCATGTGCACATTTGTTTTTTCACCACTTATGTCCCTGAAATAATGAAATCCACAAAGGGGCTCAAGTATGTGCTTTATCACTCTCCAGTATGAATATTTCATTGACCACAAACAATTTTTTCAAGGTATGATTTTAGAACTGACTTTTGAACATTGGACCCTGTGTGTCTAAATTGGGACTGTGATTAGACTGGTTCTGCAAATTGTCCCCCTTGCCAGCGTGAAATATTGAGGTGTGCTACCCATTGAATCAATACATACATCCATGTGTGCTTTCTTCATGCAGGGATTTGAGACGGCTTGGAGTGACTCTTGTCGGTCACCAGAAGAAGATTATGAACAGCCTTCAAGAAATGAAGGTGCAACTGGTAAATGGAATGGTGCCATTGTAACTTCATTTTCATGTCACTTCTTCAAGTGAACGAGTCTGCACTTTGTAAACAGCCCTGAGATTTATTTGAACAAAAAAGGGGGCGGGGGTGGTAAAAGGGAAAACAGTGATTTCTAAATCTTAGGAGAGCATTTGTCTCAGCCGTGGAATTTGTAATCAGTGTTTTACTAAAATCTCCATACTTCCGCTCAGTATCTTTATTTTTCGTGAAGCAAATACAACCTGCATAGAATAAGAACAGGAGAGGAGACGTTATCTCTGTTACAACGGCAAAATTCTTCCCACTACTTCTACAAGATTTTGTACATGAAACATATAAATGTATAGCACCTTTATAGACTGAATGCAGGCAGCCCCTTTCAATTCTTCCAGGGATCTACTTGAAAGGAGACATTCTATAGCCATTTGTGGGTGAACAAAAGCTGCAGTTTACTGAAGTTTACTTCAAGTCTTAATTGTCTACATAAGTGTATTGAAGAGCAATATGATTAGATTATTTCTTAATAGATATCTTCTTTTGTAATTTTAAAATGCTGTTACACAGCGTTAAGTTATAGACACTAGTGTATAAACATGTTGCTTGATCAAGAAAAAGTACAATACAGGGTGTATATTTATTTTTCTGTGTTATAAAATTTAATTTGTGTTGCTCTTCTAGAGACTATTAGGTAATGAATGTGTATATACTGTACTATTTGCAATATACCCAGGAACCGATTTCAATTGGAGTTGTGTGTGTGTGTGTGTGTGTGTGTGTGTGTGTGTGTGTTTGCACATGTGTGCATTCCCATTCTGCTTGCATTTTTAATAGTGTGTTAATTTTAGCAACACATAGGCAAGTGTTCCAGAGTGTAATATGAATAGGAGAAATAGGGAAGCAGTAAAACAAAATTTAACACAAGCTTGTGTCTCTTTTCCCCTCTTGTGTCCAGAAGCTACTAATCTCTTTATTCACTAACAGGAAATGTCTGTACTATTAAATCCCTTTTGGCTTTTAAAAAACACTTTGTGATATCTGTGACAATACAGTTTTCTAGCCATTAATCTTGCACCCCTGTAAGAAATTTCACCTTTCTGAGTCCCAGAAAATATCTTGTCAAGCAACGTTGACACCAAAGGGCATGTTTTCAGCGGGATGTAGAAGGATTTAACTGTGCAGGCTTCTGTTGATGTTGTAAAATCCAGGCACACAGCACTAAGCATCACCCTTAAGTGTTAATCCTTTGTAACCATTTCCATCATGACTCAGTTCTAGAAATTCTGATACGAAGGCAGCAATGGAATGGAATGGAGTGATGACACGTATGTGCGTGTGCGTGTATCACACACATTTTTTTCCTTTAGAATATTCTCTGTTTCAAGACTTGACCAATTGTATGTGTTGATGGCTGTTTATTTATCTCATTATTTCACATTATATTCAGTTATATGGCATCAGAAGTATTTTGATTAACCAATTCTAAGTATTATTTCATTGGACTTATTAAGGAATATAAGACATGACCTACATTCTGGTGAAGACTGACTTGTCAAACCAATTAGACAGTGTATTCTAAACTGAATAAAACTGAGCTCCTTGGTGAGAAAACCAAAAATATTTATATTATTTTATAAAAAGTATGGAATGGCATATACTTGTTTGAGAAGAGCATTTAAATAAGATAGGTCCTCTTCGTGATTATCAATGGCAGTAGTATATCAGTAGCCTGGAAGAGTGAAATTCATTGAAAATATTCCTATGTTATAGCAATGGCATGCTTTTTCCAGTTACCTGTTTGATTTGAACATTAGCATATTGCAAAAGTAAACTTTCAACATTCTCTTCTGCCCACCTTTTACCTAAGCAGTAAAGTCACTCTTTGCTAAAGAGAAAGGAAAAACCAAAACACAACCAAAAAAAGAAAAAGTCTAAGCAGTTTTAAAATGATATCTTAAATTTTCTCTAGAAAGAAGGGCTTTACAGTGCCATGTGTCCACACAAACTATGCTTCAAGTATACTTTGTTAGTTAAGTGAAATTTCCAGAGCAAGTTGAGAGAAGAGAATTTAACATCATCTTCATAAAATCAAAATTAAAGCCGCCATTGCCATTATTAAAGAAGCATATGTTCAATGAACAGAAAATTAATGAAACCAATTCCTTGTGTACAGAATAAGTGGAGATTGTGTTGTTCTTTACTGTTTTGTAAAAGTATATGAGTCTAAGCGATGAAGTAACAATTGAGAAACTTCAATATAAGAATAGACATCAATTTAATAAAAAAGACTAACATGCATTTTAGAACTAGCAAACTAGCCACAATTGCGTTGACATAACAAAGAATATTTTCTGAATTTTTTCCATCTTTCCAATGTCAAGAAGATTAAGAGGTCAGGGTGGAATATACCTAAGTGTCTAGAATTTGAAATTATAATGTAGAGTTTCTTTTTCTTTTTTTTTTTTGCAATAAAAGAACGTAAGTTAATTTGGATTAAACATATTCCCCTCCTTTGCAATTTTGTTGTTAATTTTGGACAATAAATCAAAATGAAAGTTAAGTCGCCACAAAATTTTTCATTTATATCTCTCTTTGATTGAGGAATGCCAATTAGATTTTAGAAGAAATAAAAAGACTTTCAAATAAGATGTAATCTCCCCTTAAAAAGAGGAAAGAATGCTTTTCTAAAATATTTGTTCACCACTGGATATGTCACCAATTGGGAAGTGCCATTTCATCTATAAATGTGAGAAATGGAACAAAGAGAAGAGGCAGCTCTCCTGAAATACAATGAGGTTCTACCCAGGGCAAGGCTTGACAAATCTTAATTGTGTGATTTCTTATCCAATTGGTTCATTTTTCACCCACCAGACAACCAAAACTAAAGCATAGATTCAATCATTTTAGCACATACAATAAATTTGTCAACGAATACACAATGTTACTGTAACTGTCAGTAGTAATATATGTAGGATATCTTTCGATTTGGGACCTTGAAAAATAGGTACAAGCAGGGAGTCATTTTCAACTTACTGATTCCTATTGAAGTCATTCAATTATTACTTTTAATCAGACATAATTTGATTCTTCTCTTACCATTTGTTCTCATGTGCTATGACATATAACCAGTTGCTCTGTTAAAATGTATTCATTGTACTGAAAAGTGTAAACATTTTGATTTTCCCATTGAAAAGAATTTTAATGTGCAGTCTTTTATTTCTTGTATTGTAATCACCAAGTCAGTGTTCTAATGTTGTTTGTACTACAAAAATTATATTCCAATATTTTATCAGAACTGAAGTGTGGCCAACATTATTAGTTTCAGAATTGCCTAAGCAATACAGAAAATCCTTAACTTGGTTTATAAAAGAATGTTAACCAGTGTGCAATGGTGAAGCTCCAGTTTCATGTCTCCAGTGTAAAATGGAACATCTTTATCAGCTGGACACTTCTGTGTTTGCATGTCTACAATTTAACCTCTATGGGAAAATAAAAGCTTTTTTTAATGCCATTCTTTCCCCCATGTAAAGTGGGTTTTTAGAAGCACAAGCAGAGATATTTACCCTTACCTTTGAAAGACGTTCTTGGCTGTCATGGTGCGTTGAATAGCAAACACTGTTCAAGTCAGATGTTAGAAATTTACTAGATGTTGCGTGGTAGAATAAGATCTGTCTCTCATTATGTTCTTTCTAAAAATAAGAAAAAAAGAAAGCTAAGTGTGATAGTAAACTGTCTTTGCTTATGTCCTGCCAGATGTTTAACCTCAAAGTAAATAAAAAGTAGGTACAATGCGATGATGATGATAATGAATAAAAGAATCAAAATGCTAGCTTTATTTGAAATTAATAACTAGAATATATCATCATTTTTTTAACTCTGTAGCACAGCTGGTTACATTGAATATTTTTCTCTATTATGCTGTTAATTATATAGTAATGTATCTAAAGAGAAATAGATAAGAACATTCTTTTTATTTCTTATTCATTTATGAAAAAGACTTTTCACACATATATGCGTGAATGTTCTTGTTTAGAATGACCACGTAATTATTGCTTAGAAGACACCAATTCATAAAAAAAAAAATCTGTTTATAACAATCAGAATCAAATGTCTGTTATTTAAATGTTAATGGAAAAATAATTGAAGGTGGCAAAAAAAGAAATGGTAGAAGTTTGGGTGGTCAATGTATTTGAATTTTTAGACTACTGTAGTTTTACAGTTAATGGTTTAAAAGTATATAAGTTGCATTTCTAACAGTCTGAGAATAATACTCAGACTCAGTCACTTGGTAATATGTTTATCAAAATCTCATTTCAAGAGGTCAGAAGCAGCTGTATAGTACATTTTATTCTATGATAGGCATCAGGATATCTCAAGTCCTGGCCTTAGAGATCATTCAAGGAAGGATTAGCATTTCTGTATTTCTTTCCCATTTGAAGCTTTATGTGCATTTGGTTTGTGTACATGTTTTTGTAGTGTAAGATATGAAATTTTATATTTTTTCAGAAAATAAAAAAAATCCTTCGAATACTGTTAAATCCTATTGTCATGCTTGACCCTCCCCCAAGATATTAAACTTACAACTTTAATATAGTACTTTCAGCTGGTCCTGATTTTAAAAAAAGTTTCCATTTTCTATGCTAAATAGGTAAAAGGAATCAGCTTCCATTTACCTCAAAAACATATTTATGAGTGTTCGCATTTGAATAATTTCTGCGAATAGTTTTTGACACTGAGATTTTGGGGCCTGTGTCTTTTTTGTATGAAACCTTGTTAAAAGTTGATTTGTGGGGACCAGCAGTTGATGTAATGGCTATGTCACTGGACTCCCATGTAGTCGACTGCGGTTCGAGTCCTGGACCCGGTGGCTTAAACTCACGCCGGGCACGTGTGCGTGCGTGCCCAAGATCACAAGAGGAGAATGGAGAAGAAGGGATTGCAGCGTGGCCATCCCCCCTGGGGGGTGATTTCTCACTTCCTATCTCTCTGTTTCTCTCTGTCTGGCGAGCACACGCGCCCTATAGCAAAAACCTCTCAAAAAAAAAAAAAAAGTTGATTTGTGTAAGTGTGACATTACTTGAAGAAATCAAAACAAATCGGAAAACTACATGCACCATCTGCAAAAGACTTTTTACTGATCAGCATTGTCCTAACACCCTTCCATTGCCATGTGTCTGCTTATGACCTAGGTCGAAAGACTTGCCTTGCCAGGAGGAAGTGTCATTACATACACACCCTCCCACTTTTTCTGTAAGTATTGTATCATATTTGGTTTATTTTTGTAAAAAGTAAAAACAATCTGCTATATTTAAGGAAATGCATCATATTTGTAGTTTTCTGTATTTACTTCATTAAAAGTGCCATCACCATGCTTACAGAAATAATCCATAACTCCTTTGCCTACACATAAAATCACTATCACACAGGATATTATTTAATATTTTAAGTTACTATGAATAATATTATTTAAGTGAGTAACTCTGCATTCATTGTAATAAGGCAGACTCTTCCTGCTTCTCCCTTGCAGCATACAAAAGTAAAGATTTTGTAAAAAAAAAAATAAATAAAAAAGAGAGAGAGAGAGATTTTAGGGGCCAGCAAGTGGTGTGGTGGTTCAGGCATGGGACTCCCATATGATCAACTGTGGTTTAAGTCTCAAGATGACTTGAAAATCAAACCGGGCACATGTGCATGCATGCTGAAATCCCAAGAGGAGGATGGAGGAGAGGGGCTTACAGTGTGGCCATACCCCCTTAGGGGGTTATTTCTCACTTTCCTTCTCTCTCTCCCTCTCTCTCTCTCTCTGGCTAGTGCATATGTCCTATGGAAAAAATCCTTAAAAAAAAAAAAAAAAGAGAGAAAAGAAAGAAAGAAGAAAAAGATTTTAGATCTGGCTCTGTAGCAAAGTGTTAAAGCCACATACCATCCCCCTGGGGGGTGACTTCTCGCTTTCTGTCTCTATGTCTCTCTCTGTCTGGCAAGTGCACGCGCCCTGTAGCGAAAAACTCTCCAAAAAAAAGAACTGAGAAATCTATAGGTGATCTACTACCAAACTGTTAACCAAACTCAAAATAAAATAAACTGATAGTTATGAAAGTTCACAGCAGTCATTCAAATTAACAGTTACATATAAAAAAGTAAGTCTCCTTGAATTTAGCAAGTTAAATAAACTACTTGAGTTGACAGAAATGCTGAAATATAGGTATATGTTTTATATCAAACTGCTCTTTTAAAATTACTATTAAGCTAAATTATTCCTGTAATTATTTAAAAGTTGATTATGAAAAATATTAAGATGTTATAATAATTAGTCTCAATTTGAAATTTCTTAAGTTTTCAGAAGGTAAAAATAAGTTAAAAATTGTACAACTGTGTCAACTGGTTTCTAAACAATGACACTTTCTATTTTATTACCATTATCATAATAAAATTCAACATCAAATCTCAAAGGAGACCCTTATAGACATGATGAATAAAGACTTTTGAGAATTAAATGTCTTAAATATGGGAAATAAAAATCCACTCACTGTAAGAGAATTAAATGTCTTATATATGGGAAATAACTATCCACTCACTGTTAATGAACTATTTTAATCAGTAGTGCTAATTCAAAGGGATGTTTTCAAGTGTTTCAAGTTCAGTTCAGTTCTCTTTTCTCAATTATTAATAAGTAGAAATTCGACCATGTTTTTCAAACATTATGGTTTCCTGTACTGGTACCTTACTGAAAATTATTCAACATTTTAGCTCTCTTGTTCGAATTTCAAAAATACATTAAATGTAAAATATTGAGTCCTTGTTGCTCAAAATTGCCCTTTTGTGTCTGTACTTTTGACCGATAACTTTTGGGGCCATAGGGTTCAACATTTAATTTTTTTTGCTTCTAGCACTCTGAGGGCACTCATTGTGTTTGGTATCCATTGTCTTGTGACACTCTAATTCATCTTTCTATCTCTGCCCTGCTTTCTTCTTCCAGAAGCTTTCAGATATCTCACCAACATATATCTCCTTCCTGCTCCCCTCATCTTGTTTGTTCTGTTCCTTGGTAGACTCTCAATCTAAAGAAAAACCTTCAGCTCAGGACATATCTCTCCTGTTTTTATTATCCTCTTTTCCCATTGCTTTGTTCTTTCCTCTTGAAACTTCTGATATCTAGATAATCCTCTAAATATCCTTGTATCTTTAACTATTACTGAATTGTTCGCTCTGTCTTCTACAAGAGTTTCTTGACTCTGCCTCCCGAATTATCATGCAGGCTTTGTCCATTCCCTGTTTTATTTTTCAAATGCTCTCAGACTTAGACTTAAAATATAAATGACCAGATATTGACTTTGTAAATTTTACCACAAGCATAGAGCTCTCTTTTGGGATTCACACATGTATATGTAATTTTACTCTTGACATAACCACTTTGATAACTCACAGACATTCCAAGCTTAACATGTTCAAAAATGAATTCATAATCTCTATTCTCCTCACACCCTAAAAATTCAATCATGCTTCTCTTTCTCCCAGGAGCTAGGTTTCAGGTTTGATTGGCCTTCTCTGACCACATTCAACTGATCACAAAGTTTTTCTATCCTAACTGTACAATTTCCATCTGTTACTCCAGAGCTCTGCCAGTATAAGGCAAGATCAACACTTGTCTGAAACGCTATGTGAGTCTCATACTGACTCTTCTTCTATTCATCAGCCGCCCCCCATTCGAATGTGTTTGTACAATCTTGATTATGTAATTCTCATGTTTAAAATCCTTGGGTCTCAGACCAATTAAATATAGTTGTTATGCTTCCTAGGGCTATAAATACCTGCCCAGCCAAGACTCTGTGGCTATTTTGCAGGTTATTCTGACTTGACGATCTTTACCTTACTCAGGCCCTTTGTGCATGCTGTTTCCTATGCCTGAAATATTTTCCACCCAAACCTTTTCTTCATAGCTCAGATAGCAGTTTATTTTGAGGGTCTATCATTCTCAGGACTGACAGTAAACAGCACACTCCAAGTGGGTTTTTGGAAGCAATTGTGACAAAGGGTCTACTTACAAAGCTGTGGATGGGTTTAGGGAATCAGTAAGAGATAGTGGAGGACTCTGCAGTTAGAGGAGGGTTGTTACTCTCACTTCTTCCAAAGGAGAAAAGGGAAGAGGAACTGTTATGAACACATGGAGGGTTAAAGCACGTAAAGGATCATCTGAAAGGCTCTGCAGCCTTTGTTAGAGGAACAGGGAAATTTGTTGTAATCCAGCAAGGAAGGAACCAGAAGAATAAAGATCTCACCCTCACATTCTTCTTGCCCTCCAAGTTTCAACTGCTGTAACCCATTGGTCACCCCAATGTGGAAACAACAGCCAAGGGAGCTCATATAATGCCATCATGGACATCAGCAGCACTGGGAAGAATGAAGAATGGATTGAGAGGACAGATGGAACTGAGGAGGATTATTTTTTAAGACTTTTGTCATAAGATATGTGCACTCACTGAGAGAGACAGAGACAGAGAGATGGAAAGTGAGAAATCACCCCCAGGGAGGATGGCCATGCTACAGTCCTTTCTCCTCATTCTCCTCCTGGGATTTTGGACATGCACATACACATGCCCAGTGTGATTTCTAAGTCACTGGGTCCAGAATTCGAACTATGCCCATGTGGGAGTCCAGCACCTTAACTGCCACACCACCTACTGGTCTGATATATTTTTATTTAATTTTATTCTTTTTTACCTGTAGGACATTTTAAAGTTTGTCTTTTACTTTTTTTGACAATAGAAGCATGTGTTTTCTTTATAGAATTTTCCAAAAC